ACAATTTTCTTATTTTTCCTTTGTGTCTCTTCGACCAGTTTCATCAGCTTCGACGTTGGCGGTGGTCGTAGGTCGGAGAATGAACTTGCTTCAGCACCGTTGCATCCGATGTGGATAATCCTGTTGAGAGGAGAAAACATAAGTCCTTGTGACATAAGATACATGTTCTTGGTCGAGACCCTGTATCAGCGTAGAAAAGTTGGAAATTTACGTGATTAAATCCAGAAACCTTGTTGCGAATCGTCCAAGGTTCCTGGATTAAAACTATATGTATCTTACCTGTGTAAATTTTAGCAAACAGAGCGCTGTTAGCCGTCTCGCTCCGATGGTGGTTTATTTGGATAACCTCAATCATTGTCATCCATTTAAACTGTCTTCCAGCGAGTTAGTGATCACATCCCAGCTCGTTGGATTTGACTCCTCCGGGTAACCTAAAGTGGCTATTGATGCAGTGGGTACCATTGATGGCACTGCGGTGTCCTTATCAGGCATATCAAGAGCAGTGTTTTTAATCGACACTTTCCCAATTTTGGACAGCACTGCTGTTCTGTCTTCTGGCGGGTGAGTGATTTCCTCCTCGCTTTTAGGATTTGACCCCTCAAAATTACCAGTACTTGCTAATGATGCTTTGGGAAGCGTCTTAGGTGTTTTAGTGTCCTTATCGGGGCCGGTTTTGATATCCCTTTTAATCGTCACCTCCCCAATTTTGGAAAGGGCAGCCGCACCTTCTTTTGGCGAGTTAGTGGTAGCTTCCTCTCTTGTAGGATTTGATTCCTTAACGTTATCAGTAGTTGCTACTGATGCTGTGGTCTTAGGTATTTTAGTGTCCTTTTCAAGGCTTGTTGTAACAGCCCTTCCAATCGGCACCTTCCTAATTTTGAATATGACCGCTTTAGAGGCGAAGATTTCTGGTCGATACCGGAAGCTCGCTCTTCTTTGTCAGTCCCAGCTTAGCGCCGTCCCAGGGAGGAGGGATACTTTCCACTAAGTTCTTTAGGGTGCTAACACATTGGTGAGATGCCAAACTTATCAACATCACGCCCATGCTGAACTCGCAGCTCACGCTCTCTATTGGTTGTTTGCCCTTTGAAGCGATTGCATGGTCAACGCATTGTTAAAGGTCAAGCATTCCTTTAACATTGTGAGTAATCAATTAATAATTTGATTATTTTAATCATTGGTTTTTAATACATTTTTTACCAAACAAACTTTTTTTTTTAATATTTTATTTTGATTTCTTATGCTAACAATGTTTATAATTCTTAAATAGTCAATACGATTTTAGGCATATAATATTCAAGTTTCCTGACAATTTATAAAACACTTTATATGTTCAAATTTGATAATAAAGTGATATTTTTTGTAAATGCTCAACGCATTGTTAAAGGTCAAGCATTCCTTTAACATTGTGAGTAATCAATTAATAATTTGATTATTTTAATCATTGGTTTTTAATACATTTTTTACCAAACAAACTAATTCATTTGATTAATAAATATTGAAATGTAACTTGTTTTAAAATTAATATAGCAATCGTTTCTAAATATGTTTATGTATGAAAATTTTTATGAAAATTTTGTTCATTCCAAATCTAAGACTTGACAAATAAATATCTGAATTTCTTTTATTAAATAATATAAATACTTGAAGTCAATAGTTATGGGCAAAAATAAAGAATTGGCAAACGGTATTCCGCAATTTAACGGTTGTGGGTATGATAATTGGCAATTCAGAGTCAAGATTCATTTGGATTCTTTGAATATATTGGACGTTCTAACCGATGATCCACCCGTAGAAGCTGCTGCAAGGGCAGAATTTTTTAAACGTGATAAGAAGGCCAAAGATCGTTTGGTAAGCTACATTCATGCTGATTGTTTAAGTTATATTCGGGACAAGGTAACCGCTAAGGAAATGTGGGCAAATTTGGAATCGGTTTTTGCTCAAAAATCTATTATAAACAATTATCCACACTTCGTATGAAGCCTAGGGATTCCATAAAATTACATTTGGAACAATTTGAACATATAATAAGACAACTTAAGATGGCTGGAGCAAATTTAGAGGATGCTGATTTAATTACACAAATTTTTTTGTCGTTGCCTGAAAAATTCGATCCCTTAGTGACGGCGTTGCAAAACATCGATGACAACAAACTTACATTTGGATTCATAAAAGAAAGATTGATAGCTGAAGAAATTAAACTTAATGATCGTGTTGAAGCTGAAGTTGGAGAAAAGACAGCATTTGCAAGTAAAAAACATTTTAAGAAAAAGTTTAACGGTAAGTGTTACAAATGTAATAAATTCGGTCATCAAGCCAAAGATTGCAAGACTAGGGAAGCTCGTGCTGCCGATAAAAGATTTTGTTTTATGGCTGGTACTAGTGCAAATCGAAATAATGAAGGCTCAAAAGTAAGATTCATATTAGATTCTGGTGCTAGCGATCATCTGGTCAATGAAAGTTGGTATATTTCTGAACTGAAGAAACTGGATGTTCCTATTGCAATCAATATTGCCAAAGACCATCAATCTGTATTAGCTAAAGCAAGTGGCCAAATACATTGTAAAATGGATTCCGAGTATGATATTGAAATAAAGGAGGTTCTATATGCATCAGATCTAAGAGACAATCTTATGTCAGTACGAAAATTAACAAAAGCTGGTGCTCAAGTGAAGTTTGTTGACAATCGCGCATTAATTATGAAAGATAAAGAAGTGATTGGTACTGGCTTCTTAAATGGCAACTTATATGAAATTGAAATCGTAATTGAAAAGCCTGTAGCTAATGTATGCAATAAGGATGATGCAGTTTTATGGCATCGTCGTCTTGGTCATGTAGGTCAACAAGGATTGGATTCCTTAGTTAAAAACAACATGATACCAAATCTGAAAAATAAAGTTGAAAAGATTGGCTTTTGCGATGTTTGCGTTGAAGCAAAACATTCTCGTGATCCTTTCGATGGTACTCGAAATAAAGCAACACGAATATTGGAACGAATTCATACGGATGTCTGTGGACCGATAGATCCTGTAGCAGTGGATGGTTCTCGTTACATTGTTTCATTTATTGATGATTTCAGTCATTTTTCTGTCATTTATCTTATAGAAAAGAAATCTCAAGTTTTTAAGTCGTTAAAAGAATATGAAGCCATGGTAACAGCAATGTTTGGATCCAAAATATCAAAAATTACTTCTGATCAGGGCCGTGAATACCTTTCAAAAGAGCAGCAAGATTGGTATAAGAGAAAAGGTATACAAATTGAGACCACAATATCGTATAGTCCTCAGCAGAATGGTGTCGCTGAGCGATTCAACCGCACGTTAATGGATAAGGTAAGAGCCATGCTTTTTGAATCGAATATACCGAAAAACATGTGGCATGAAGGTGCTCTAAATGCAACATACACGATATATCGATGCCCAACAAGTTCGCTACAAAACTTTAAAACACCTGCGGAAATATGGTTTGGAAAGAAACCTGATTTGTCAAAATTGCGTATATTTGGGTGTAAGGCGTATGCGTGGATCCCAAGTCAATTAAGAAGGAAACTCGATCCTAAAAGTCGTAAAACGGTGATGATTGGTTACACTAATAATGGATACCGACTTTGGGATATGGAAAAAAGAAAAGTTATAACCTCACGCGATATTAAATTTGATGAATCGTGTTTTCCTTTTAAAGATAATATCAAGCAACGGGAAAATAGTGTGATAGTAAGCCACCAGCAAGAGGGGAGTAGTGATGATGAAAACGGTGCCGTGGCTCAGTCGCTTATAGAAAATAATCTTGATGAAAATGATAGTGCGGCTGAAGTAATTGCTGAAGGCGAATGTAATGGTGTAAATTGTGATTTGGCAGAACCAAATAGTGAGGAAAACTGTCACGAAGTTGAATCCAGTATTTTAACAGACGATGATGATGATGTGGTGGAAATTCAAGATTCAGTTTCTAATGAAGTATCCACTGCGCTCCCATCGCAAGAAGAAAACAGTGTTGAATCTATTAGGCGGAGCGGTCGGGAGCGCAAATTTCCAAGTAAGTTATTTGATTATATAACTGGTTTACAAGCAGATTCTGCTGTTAATGTTTTTAAGGCTGTTTCTGAAAAATATGCCGAAATATTTGGAAGACTTGATACTGAAGAGTGGAAGGCTGCTATATCAGATGAACTGAAGTCAATGGATAACAATAACGTTTGGACAGTTATAAACAAACCAAAGAACGTGCAACTATTAAAATCTAAATGGGTTTTTCGTATAAAAGAGGATCCAAATGGTAAACCATCAAGATACAATGGTCGTCTTGTGGTGAAAGGATTTCTACAAAAGTATGGAGTCGATTATAACGAGACATATGCCCCAGTAGCCAAGCTGACTACAATACGTGTTGTGCTTGCTGTTGGAATGTACAGAGGTTATCATTTCCATCAATTAGATGTTAAAACAGCTTTCCTACATGAACATTTACATGAAAATATATACCTGGAACCACCTGAAGGCGTTCAATTAAGAGAGGGAATGGTACTTAAGCTCAACAAGTCATTATATGGTCTCAAACAGGCCCCACGTAGCTGGAACAGCAAGTTTAGTGAGTTTTTACTGTCGTTGGGATTTCAAAGATCGAATAGAGATTATTGTCTGTATACAAAATTTGATAAAAATACAGTACTAATAGTGGTTCTATATGTGGATGACTTACTGATTGCGGGAAACCAAGAAAAATCCATTGAAAAACTGAAAAGAGATCTATCAACCAAATTTGAAATGAGTGACTGTGGAATGTTAAGCTATTTTCTTGGAATAAAAATTTAATTTCATGAAGGAAAAATAAAATTATCTCAAGAATCAAGTATTGAAAAAGTCTTAACAAAGTTTGGAATGGCTGATTGCAATCCAGTAAAAACACCAATGGAAAAAGGACTTCAACTGTTACCTGGAAACAAAATAAATGAGAAAGTGAACGAACCATATCGTGTGTTACTTGGCAGTTTGATGTACACAATGCTCAGTTGTAGGCCTGATATATGTTTTTGTGTGGCGTATATGGGACGATTTCAAGAAAATCCAACTGAAACACATTGGCAACATCTTAAAAGAATTGTACGTTATTTAAAGGGTACAAAGAATATGAAACTAGTATTTTCCCCAAATAATGAAATTCCCATATTTGGATTTGCCGATGCTGATTGGGCAAATGATATAAATGATCGAAAATCAGTTAGTGGATACCTGTTCAAAGTTTATGGTTGTTGTGTTTCATGGTCTTCAAAGAAACAACAAACAGTGGCAACTTCCTCAAGCGAAGCAGAGTATATAGCATTAAGTGCAGCAGTTTCAGAAGCCTTATGGTTACGTGGTTTGATGCAAGATTTACAAGAAATTAAAAATGAAACTGTCACAATATATGAAGACAATAAAGGGTGCATCGGTATGGCTAATACTTCTGAAATCAAAAGAGCTAAACATATAGATGTAAAACATCATTTCATTCGTGATAATGTTGCTAAAGGATATGTAAAAATTGAGTCTATACGGTCAAAAGATCAAGGCCTTAGATATCAAGCGTTTTAGTGAACTTCGGTCTAAACTAGGAGTCAACGATTGAGAGAGGGTATTGAAATGTAACTTGTTTTAAAATTAATATAGCAATCGTTTCTAAATATGTTTATGTATGAAAATTTTTATGAAAATTTTCTTCATTCCAAATCTAAGACTTGACAAATAAATATCTGAATTTCTTTTATTAAATAATATAAATACTTGAAGTCAATAATAAATTAATAAAAATTAGATTTTATTTTTATTAAATATTTAATTTATACAATTAATGAATTAACCAATTTTAAATTTTGTCTCAATTATTGATATTAATTGTTCTGATTAATTCGTTATTTGCAAAAAAAAGTATTTTTTTACAAATTTGATAATTGATATCATAATTTTGGTTATAGGTGCATAACTTGCTTGATACAATTACTTTGATAATTGAAACATATTTTTAGTTTTTTCTGTGTACGGACCAAAAAATGAGTGATTTAATCAAAAAATAGTAAAATCTGTAAACTTGATAACTAAATATGAGGTTATGTAGGCCGGACCTTCCTCTATAGGTCACAGTGTTTCGATTTTTGGGACAAAGTAAAAAATTGGACCCTTATGGTCCAAAAACAAATTAAGTGATTTTGTAAAAAAAAGTTTTTTGAAAATTTTGTTCGGAGGCATATCCGTAAACTTCATAACTATATATGAGAAAATGTTGGCTGGACCACCTCCTATAACTTCCTATATCTCGATTTTTGGCACGGAGTAAAAATTAGACCCTTAGGGATCAAAAATAATTGAGTGATTTCATCAAAGAACAGTTTTTTGAAAATTTTGTTCGGAGCCCTATTTGCGGCCTTTGGCACACAGTAAAAATTGGAACCTTATCGTCAAAAAAAAAGAAAAAAAAAAATTGAGTGATTTTGTCAAAAACAAAATGAATGATTTTATCAAAAACAAAATTGATAATTTTACAAAAAACCAATTGAGCGATTTTGTCAAAAAAGAGTATTTTGAAAATTTTGTTTGGAGGCATATCTGAAACTTTAAAACTGAATATGAGGAAATGTAGGACCTCCCTCTATATGTTCCCAAAAACAAAATTAGTGATTTTATCAAAAACAAAATTAGTAATTTTGCCAGAAACCATTTGAGTGATTTTGTCAAAAAAGAGTTTTTTAAAAATTTTGTTCAGGCCTATCTGTAAACTTGAATACTAAATATTATGAAATGTAGGCCGGGCATCCCTTTATAGATTCCAAGTATTTCGATTTAGCACAAAGTAAAAAATCTGTAAACTTGAAAACTAAATAAGAGGAATGTATACCGGACCTTCCTCTATAGGTTTCCATATTTCGATTTTTGGCACAAAGCAAAAAATGAACCTTTAGTGTTTAAAAACAAAATGAGTAATTTCACCAATACTTATTAACTAGATTTGGAAAAATGTAGGCCGGACCTCTCTCTATAGGTATCCGTAATTTGATTATTGGCATAAAGTAAAAATTGAACCCTTAGGGACCAAAAACGAAATGAGTGATTTTATAAAAAACAAAGTTTGTGATTTTGCCAAAACCCAATTGAGTGATTTTGTCAAAATATTTTTTTTTTTGAAAATTTTGTTCGGAGGACTATCTGTAAACTTGAAAACTAAATATTATGAAATGCAGGCCGGGCCCCCCTTTATAGGTTCCCAGTATTTCGATTTTTTGCACAAAGTAAAACATATAACCCTTATGGTCCAAAAACTAATTGAGTGATTTTGTCAAAAAACAGTTTTTGAAAATTTTGTTATGAGAAATATAGGCCGGAGCTCTCTCTATAGTTTTCTGTAATTTGATTATTGGCACAAAGTAAAAATTGGACTCTTAGGGACCGAAAAAACTTGTTAACTAAATATGTAGGCCGGACCTGCCACTATAGGTTCCCATATTTCGATTTTTGGTACAACGAAAATATTGAACCCTGATGGTCCAAATACAAATTGAATGATTTTGTCAAAAAAGAGATTTTTGAAAATTTTGTTCGAAAGACTATCTGAAAACTTGAAAACTAAATATTAGAAAATGAAGACCGGACCTTTATGGTCCAAAATCAAATTGAGTGATTTTGTCAAAAAACAGTTTCATGAAAATTTTCTTCGGAGGCCTATCTGTAAACTTTAAAACTAAATATGAGGAAATGTAGGCATGACCACCTTCTATAATTTCCTATATCTCGATTTTTGGCACAAAGTAAAAATTGGACCCTTAGGGATCAAAAACAAATTGAGTGATTTCATCAAAGAACATTTTTTAAATTTTTGTTCGGAGCCCTATCTGTAGACTTCGTAACTATATATGAGGAAATGTTGGTTGGACCTTCCTCTATAGGTCACAATATTGCGATTTTTGGCACAAAGTAAAATACCCTTATGGCCCAAAAACAAAATGAGTGATTTTATCAAAGAACAGCTTTTTGAAAATTTTATTCGGAGCCCTATCTGTAAACATGATAACTATATATGAGAAAATGTTGGCCGGACATTCCTCTATAGGCCACAGTATTGCCAAATATTATGAAATGTAGGCCGGGCCTCTCTTTATAGGTTCCCAGTACATATTTCGATTTTTTGCACAAAGTAAAAAATGTAGCCATTATGGTCCAAAAACTAATTTAGTGATTTTGTCAAAGAATAGTTTTTGAAAATTTTGTTCGGAGGCCTATCGGTAATCTTGAAAACTAAACAAAAATAAATATAGGCCGGACCTCTCTCTATAGGTTTCCGTAATTTGATTATTGGCACAAAATAAAAATTGGACCCTTTGGGACCAAAACAATGAGTGATTTTTTCAAAAAACAGTAAAATCTGTAAACTTGATAAATAAATAGAGAATATGTAAGCCGGACCTCACACTAAAGATCCCAATATTTCGATTTTTGGCACAAAGTAAAGATTGAACCCTATGATCCAAATAAGAATTAAGTGATTTTGTCAAAAAAGAGATTTTTGAAAATTTTGTTCGGAGGACTATCTGAAAACTTGAAAACTAAATATTAGATAATGTAGGCCGAACCTCCCTCTATAGGTTCCCATTATTCGATTTTCGACACAAAGTAAGCTTGACAACTAAATATGGGGATTTGTAGGCCGGACCTCCCACTATAGGTCCCATATTTTGATTTTTGGCACAAAGTAAAAAATTGAACCCTTATGGTCCAAAAAGAAATTAAGTGATTTTGTCAAAAACAAAGTGAGTGATTTTATCAAAATCAAAATGAGTGATTTTATCATAAACAGAATTAGTAATTTTGCCAAAAACCAATTGAGTGATTTTGTCAAAAAAGAGTTTTTTGAAAAGTTTGTTCGGAGGCATATCTGAATCTTTAAAACGGAATATGAGGAAATGTAGGACCTCCCTCTATAGGTTCTCATGACCCTTAGGGACCAAAAACAAAATGAGTGATTTTATTAAAAACAAATTGAGTGATTTTATCAAAAACAAAATTTGTAATTTTGCCAAAAGCCAATTGAGTGATTTTGTCAAACAAGAGTTTTTTGAAATATTGTTCGGAGGCCTATCTGTAAACTTGAAAACTAAATATTATGAAATGTAGGCCGACATCACTTTATAGATTCCAAGTATTTCGATTTTTGGAACAAAATAAAAAATTTGACCCTTATTGTTCAAAAACAATTTGAGCGATTTTGTCAAAAAAGAGTTTTTGAAAAGTTTATTTGGAGGCCTATCGGTAAATTTAAAATCTAAATAGGGGGAAGGTAGGCAGAACCTCTCTCTATAGGTTTCCGTAATTTGATAATTGGCACAAAGTAAAAATTGGACCCCTAGGGACCAAAAAAATTAGTGATTTTATAAAAAACAGTAAAATCTGTAAACTTGATAACTAAATAGGTAGGCCGGACCTCCCACTATAGGTTCCCATATTTCGATTTTTGGCAAATAGAAAAATTGAACCCTGATAGTCCAAATACAAATTGAGTGATTTTGTCAAAAAGAGATTTTTGGAAATTTTGTTCGGAGGACTATCTGAAAACTTAACAACTGAATACGAGGAAATGTAGGCCGGACCACACACTATAGGTTCATATTATTCGATATTCGGCACAAAGTAAAAATTGGTCCCTTATGGTCCAAAAACAAATTGAGTGATTTTGTCTAAATTGTTTTTTGAAAATGTTGATCGGAGGAATATAGGTTCTATAGGTTCCCATATCTTGATTTTTAGCACAATGTAAAAATTGGAACCTTAGGGACCAAAAAATTAATGATTTTATAAAAAAAGCAGTAAAATCTGTAAAATTGATAATTAAATATGAGTATATGTAGGCCGCACCTTCCTCTATAGGTGACAGTATTTCGATTTTTGGCACAAAGTAAAAAATTAGACCCTTATGGCCCAAAAACAAATGAGTGATTTTGTAAAAAAAGAGTTTTTGAAAATTTTGTTTGGAGGCCTATCGGTAAAAATCTGTAAACTTGATAACTAAATAGGTAGGCCGGAACTCCCACTATAGGTTCCCATATTTCGATTTTTCGCAAATAGAAAATATTGAACCCTAATAGTCCAAATACAAATTGAGTGATTTTGTCAAAAAGAGATTTTTGGAAATTTTGTTCGGAGGACTATCTGAAAACTTAAAAACTGAATATGAGGAAATGTAGGCCGGACCTCACACCATAGGACCATATTATTCGATTTTCGACACAAAGAAAAATTGGACCCTTATGTTTGGACCACAAATTGAGTGATTTTGCCTAAACTGTTTTTTGAAAATGTTGATCGGAGGAATATAGGTTCTATAGGTTCCCATATTTTGATTTTTAGCACAATGTAAAAATTGGAACCTATGGGACCAAAAAATGAGTGATTTTATCAAAATAAAGTAAAATCTGTAAACTTGATAACTAAATATGAGGATATGTAGGCCGGACCTCACACTATAGGTTCTAATATTTCGATTTTTGGCATAAAATAAAGATTGAACCCTATAGTCCAAATACAAATTGATTGATTTTGTCAAAAAAGCG